TAAAGCTAAGCTAAGGCTAAGCTAACACTAAGCTAAAGCTAAGCTAAAGCTAAGCTGAAGCTAAGCTAAAGCTAAGCTAACGCTAAGTTCAAGCTAAGCTAACACTAAGCTGAAGCTAAGCTAAAGCTAAAGCTAAGCTAAAGCTAAGCTAAAGCTAAGCTAACACCAAGCTAAAGCTAAGCTAACGCTAAGCTAAAGCTAAAGCTAAAGCTAAAGCTAAGCTAAAGCTAAAGCTAAGGCTAAAGCTCCCAGGGGACTGGGGGAACCGCGGGGCGGGGACTGGGGGAACCGCCCGGGGCGGTCAGCATTGCCCGGCCCTTTATGCAAAGAGAGTAAGAACCCTTCTAGGCAGAGCCTAGGTAGGGAAACAAAACGATGGGCACCTGTCGGGCATATTACCAGTAATGATCCTTCAGAATTGAAGGTCCAACAACAACAATCATGTGAAGACTCCCCGCTCTTATCTGCTCGCGTGCCAGTCAACACGTATATTCCAAACCCTCGATGCCCGCCTTCGTCGCCTTCGATCGTACCCCCCTTTGGAGTATATCTCCCCTACTTGCCGCGTGTAGTTGGCGCAGCTCCTAAAACAGGGGAAGGAAGGGAGAAGGTTAGGTGGCAAATGATGGGAGCTTTCTTTTTCACCCAATTGTGTCTTGCTTCCTGCTTCGTGATAATTTAGTGTGTATTAGTGTTGTTGAGTGTTGCGTAGCGTTGCTCGTGCACGCCGGTCGGTGCGCGCGCGCGGCATCGCAGTTGTGCGAGCAATGCCAGATTTTTAAGATCGGCCGCAACCTTTTTCAAATTTCCTTTCTTCCTGTCCCTCCCACAGGCGAACTGAATTACACTAAATTGTCCTAGACGCAACTAAATTGCACTAAATTGCACTAGTGTGGGGCGCACTAATCGCCACTAACTTGCACTAAATTGCATTAAATTGCGCTAGATTGCAGTGAATTGCACTAAGTGCCACGAAATTGCACTAGACGCAATTGAATTGCATTAAATTGCAGTAAATTGCACTAGCGTCTCCCGCCGGGCCACACTAAACGCCAGTAAATTGCGCTAAATTGCACTAGTGTGGGGCGCACCAAACGCCACCAACTTGCACTACATTGCACTAAATTGCACTAGACGCCACTACATTGCACTACGCGCCACTAAATTGCACTACATTGCACTACCGCCTCCCGCCGCGCCACACTAAACGCGACTAAATTGCGCTAAAGTGCACTAGTGTGGGGCGATGGCGACGCTAAGTTCGACAAACGAAGCTCCCATCATATGCCAGGGAAGAGACACGGGGGACGGTGAAGGATGGAGCAGGAGAGAGATTTGCAGGAGGATGGTTAGTAACACGAGTTCAAGCGGCGGAACCAGACGGGCGGGTCGGGCGGGCGGACCCTAATGGGCAGGTCGGGTGGACGGGCTCAGAAGGCCGGATCGAGCGGGTGGGTCGCTGAAGCGTTGATCCAACACGAATCGCAAGGGAGCTTCGAGAGATAGCGGGAATCGTGAGGAAAGCCAGCGCGAGAGCGTGATTCTTCAGTTTGGGGGGCACGGCGCCGTAATACATTTTGAGGAAGTGCCACGCGAGAGCACGATTCATGTGTACATTTTGAGGAAGTCCCGCGCGAGAGCGTGAGAAAGTATCACGCGGGAGCCGTTGTTCCTGTAACCCGGGGGCCAAGGGCTTAGTCTGGTGATTTGTATTTTCACAAAAAGAGAAGAAAAACAGAAAGGGCGCGAGTCCAGGGAGGGACATCTCAGTTGAAGAAATGCTGTGCTCACCGAAGGGGGGGGATCAACAGCAATTTTTGTCATCGCTTCGTTCGCTCCGCGGTCCCCTTTTGCACCACCGCGGCTGCATGGCGGTGTGCTCGCTACCCGCGAGGAGCGGTGGGGCAGGCAGGGCTGCTCTCGAGGAGAGCTCCGGAGATGCTGCTCGCACCCCGTTGAGGAGCGCCGACCGACTGCCCCAGAGGGCGCCAGGATGGCTCGGGAGAGGTCCAGCAGAGTTTCGAGTCGTACCCTGGTTTAGTGGGTCAGAGTCCTCATGGACGCTTCCTGGGGTCTCTTCGGAGGGCTCTCGGGAGCTGCCGGGGAGCAGTCTTGAAGCCTCCGGGGGGCCTCATGGGGGCCTCTTGGCGCTTACTTGGGGGCCTGTGGCGGGTCTTGGGGGCCTCTCTTGGGGCCTCTTTTGGGGTCTCTTGGGGGCCTCTTTGGGGCCTCTTGGGGGCTCTTGGGGGCCTCTTGGGCTTCCTGGGCGCCTCTAGGGGCCGAGAGTTTGAAATGTCGGTTCGGATTCCCTCTCTGGGCCCCTTCTTGGGGCCATCCTGGGGCCGTCTTGGAGGCCTCTTTGGCCGTCTTAGCGCCATCTTGGGCCATTTTGTCGCCCTGTTTGTTGCACGTTTTGGAAGTATTTTGGGGCCTCTTGGGCCGTCCAGTCGGTCGGCAGCTCGAAAAGGCAGTGTCGCCAAAATCGTCCCCAAAAACCCAGCAACGTTTTTTTTTTTTTTTTTTTTTTTGCAGGGTCTCTCGAAGTCCTCTTGGAACCCTCCTGGAGCGTCTTGGGCGCTTCCTGGGCCGTCTTGGGACCAACGTGGGCCATCTTGGAACGCTCTTGGCCTGAGGCCATTGGGCGTGTCACCCCTTCGGCGCCTCATCGGGGCGCTCGGGGGGGCCCCGCGGCTGCGCCCAAGAGTTCCGGCAGCTCTGACCCGACCTTGCTGGCTCCTTGCCAGGACCTTACTCATGAATTTCGGGGGCGGAAAAGAGGGGGGTGATGACTAGGGGGGGGTGGATATCATGGCGGGGGCCATGATATCTCCCCAGATCTCATGGCGCCCCTTCTTCTTTCATTACGTCCCATCCCCCCCTCTTGGACACCCCCCTCTTGGCCGCTCCCGAGTATTTTTCGTCTGCGGACCCCCAGGGGCGGCCACGCGCGCGCGAACTAGAGCCATTCGTACATTCTAGCCGGAGACTTTAGCACGCCTCTGGCCCGTGAGGCCGGCGAATTCAGACATGGGAATTCAACAGGAATCCTCGCCGATCCCCACTTCAGTCACGCACCCAGGGACAGTGTAGGACCGCTCGGCCCCCTCACTCTGATTTGTGCACGGGCGCTGCGCAATTATTCGAGGCGAAGTGATTGTCCTTTGCGCTGCCGTTTCAGGTTCTGTCGGCAGGCTAAGGTTCTGCTCATTCTAGTCATGCGGGCTCCAGCCGGTCCACTGTTAGTAGGTTCGTTGTCGGAGCAGTCAGCTGAATCAGACGGCTGATCATTGGGCGGGCCACGGTAGAGATTCGCGCGAAATAAAGGGGAGGATGAGCAGGATGAGTGGTATTGCAGACATTCGACTCCGGGTGTGGTCTTGAAAGGGATGCAGCTGGAGGCTTGGGGCGCAACAGGAGTGGGTAGAGGAAGGACGTGAGAGAGGGTTTGGCCTGGGCCTGCTCCAATCGGAGATCAGGCTGAGGTGGGCTCGGGCACGCGGTGGCGGCAGTGGTATGTGCGTTCAGTCGGGCCTGTCCTTCTTCAGGGGAGATATTCAAAAATAATCAAACAATAGTCTGGGGACTATTCTTTGAGTATTCTCAGCAGTTTTTGAGCACTTTTGGGGTATTCTTTATTTTTCGTCGAGAATCCCCCTGTAGGGGGACACGCCCGACTTAAGATTTGCTTATAGTCCCACCAAACAATGTTCTAAGAACCTTTTGTGGTTATCACGAAATGTTCTTAGACCATTTCTTGTTGGAACTGTCTTGTTTTAGAACATCGGGTTTATGTTCTAAGAACATTCTTTGGTTCTTAGAACATTTGTGGGTTCTAGGAAAATTTCGTGGTAGGCCTATAGGAATGCGGTGGCGGCAGTGGCATTTGCGTCGTGGCGCCACCCGCCTCTGCCCGAGCCAAGGTCCTTCGGGCCGGCATCGACGGGAGGCCGGCCCAGGATGGCGGCGGAATTCAGGGTCGGCCAGGCTGCGGGAGGCCCCCGTGGAGCCGCAGGGACTGCCACGTGCGCGGGCGGCGAGGACCAGCAGGAGGAGGAGGAGGAGGAGGAGGAGGAGGAGGAGGAGGAGGACGAGGCTCTGGAAGTCGGCTTCGTGCACGCTGTGCGTCCGTTCGCTCGCTCGCGTTCGGTTCGCTCGGCGTGCTCTTGCGTGCGCGGCACACGGCCGTGCATGCATGCGCGGTGTCCGCGTGCGGCGCGGGGCGGCGCGCGCGGCCGCCGCGGGGCTGCGCGGACAGACCGCGCGGGGCCCGTAGCGGCAGGAGGAGGAGGTCGAAGGCGAGAGGTTGGCGTAGTAGGAGGAGGAGGGGACGTGCAGGATGATGATGATGCTGATGATGATGCTGATGCTGATGCTGATGATGCTGCTGGTGATGACGGTGGTGACGATGATGTTGATGATTATGATGGTGAGGATGGTGATGAATATGGTGATAGTGATGGTGCTGGTGATGGTGATGGTGATGATGCTGATGATGCTGGGGATGATGATGGGGATGCTGACGGTGATTGTGAGGGTGATGCTGCTGATGATGGTGATGGTGATGGTGAGGATGATGATGGTGATGATGACGGTTATGATGGTGGTGGTGTTGATGATCACATTGAGGAGGATGACGATGATCATACTTATGCTGATGAGGTTGATGACGTTGGTCAGGATTATGAGGATTATGATGATAGTGATTATGAGGATGCTGGTGATGATGATGATGATGATGAGGAGGAGGAGGAGGAGGATTGATGGGGGAGGGGGAATGCACATGAATGTCAGGAGGTTGTCAGAGTTGTGCGATGTGCCCGGAGGCATTGGGGGCCTTTCGGTGGACGGGGGGGGATCAGGGATGTGTCTGAAGAGCGAGAGGAGGAGGAAGACAACGGAAACGTCTGAAGAGTGTGAGGAGGAGGCTGAAACGGTAGCGGAGGGCGGACTTCCCCTCTTCTACCAGTTACGCCCGCCCGCCCGGTGCGACCCGTCCCAAGCAAGCCTCACGCTGGACAGCGTCGACGACCTCACCGACGTCCTGGAGAGACCTAAGCTGTCGAGCAGCCTGACCGACGCGGACCGCGGCCTCAGCACAAGCCTCGCACACGGTGTCCGGGCTCGGAGGATCGCGCCGCATTTCCGATTCATCGGCGACGCGGCTCGATTTGAGACCCCATTTTCTCCGCGTTGGCGGCGCTGATGCAACGCCGGCGCCTCGCCGACGCATCGCCGACACATCGCCGACGCATCATCGGCGCTGCAGCGCGGCTTTCCGATCCCGCGTGCTCGGGCCTTTTCTGGGAAGCCCCCCTCCCTGCCGATCTCACCCGCGGTGCCTCCTCATCCTCTTCCTCCTCCTCCTCCTCCTCCTCCTCCTCCTCCTCCTCCTCCTCCTCCTCCCTCTCCCTCTCCCCATCCCTCTGCCTCTCCCTCTTGTCGTCCTCCTCCTCCTCCTCCTCCACTTCCTCCTCCTCCTCCTCCTCCTCCTCCTCCTTCTCCTCTTCCTCGTCCTCCTCCTCCTCCTCCTCCTCCTCCTCCCTCTCCCTCTCCCTCCGCCTCTCGTCCTCCTCCTCCTCCTCCTCCTCCTCCTGCCCGAGCGGCGGAGGTGCCCGAAGGCGCGCGGTCGGAGCGCGCCACGGTGGCGCTCTCAGCGCGCGGTCGGCCGAGGCCGCGGGCCCCGCGGCAGCCCCTGGGGACCTCCTGCGGACGCTGGCCGCCCGAGGCGGGGCGGCATGCGCGGTGGCAGTAGCCACCGCGCGGGCCTGTCCTTCTACAGGGGGAGTGTTCAAGAATAGTCCACAGATAGTCTTGGGACGATGCTCTGGGCATCTTTTTGCTGCTGCCATTTTGGTATATGTTTGGGCTATTTTTTATTACCCGTCCACGATCCCCTCTGTAGGGGGACAGGCACGACCTAACAGGAGCCGAAGCTCACGCCGCCGCACGAGGCGTTCCAGAGATGGGCGGGCGAGCAATGGCAGAAGCATCGAGACTCGGAGGTCCGCGCGGATCTCTCGGATCCGCGTTGGACCGCCCTCCCTGGCGCGCGGAGCGCGCCAGGGGCGGCGCCGGAGGCGCCACCGGGGGGCCCCAGCGCCGATCCGAGAATTTGCGCGGGCCTCCGAGTTTTGCTGTCTGTGTCATCGCGCGTTCCCCTGAGGAAGGGCCTCGCCCTCGAGGCTCGAAGGAGTTGTCGTCTCTCCCTCGGCGGAAGGCGGTGGGGGGGGGGATGGCCTGTCCGTCCGAGCCCGCATGCGCACCCGTCGGTGGGCCCACCGTTCGGAGTATAGGCTTCCGAATGCGCCGATTTCGGTTGAATTTCTCTTAGGCCCCGCACGAAGCGTCCTTCCTTGGAGGTTCCTGGGCGCGGTGGTTTAAAACAAAAGGAAACAGGGCGAGGCAGCCTCCGCCGGCGGAGGCCGGCGGGAAGCTGGCGGAAGGCGGCGGAAGCAGAAGATGCGTCCCCCAGGAGACGGCAATGTATTGCGAAGGCCTGACGGCCGGTGCCGCCGACCCTGTTCGCAATGCGCAGCAAGAGATTACGAGGTTGCTCAAGGTCGGCTTGGCTGGAGCCCAGGGGAAGAGGAGTCCCAGGGGGGGGCGTCGTATCTGACCCGGGGGGGGGGTCGCTACCCCCCCCCCCTCCCGGCGGGGGAGGGATCAAAGGGAAGGGGCTTCCCTTCGACTCAATTACGAGGTTGCTCAAGGTCGGCTTGGCTGGAGCCCAGGGGAAGAGGAGTCCCAGGGGGGGGCGTCGTATCTGACCCGGGGGGGGGGTCGCTACCCCCCCCCCCCTCCCGGCGGGGGAGGGATCAAAGGGAAGGGGCTTCCCTTCGACTCAATTACGAGGTTGCTCAAGGTCGGCTTGGCTGGAGCCCAGGGGAAGAGGAGTCCCAGGGGGGGGCGTCGTATCTGACCCGGGGGGGGGTCGCTACCCCCCCCCCCCTCCCGGCGGGGGAGGGATCAAAGGGAAGGGGCTTCCCTTCGACTCAATTACGAGGTTGCTCAAGGTCGGCTTGGCTGGAACCCAGGGGGGAGGAGTCGCCCCCCCCCCTCCCGGCGGGGGAGGGATCAAAGGGAAGGGGCTTCCCTTCGACTCAATTACGAGGTTGCTCAAGGTCGGCTTGGCTGGAGCCCAGGGGAAGAGGAGTCCCAGGGGGGGGCGTCGTATCTGACCCGGGGGGGGGGTCGCTACCCCCCCCCCCTCCCGGCGGGGGAGGGATCAAAGGGAAGGGGCTTCCCTTCGACTCAATTACGAGGTTGCTCAAGGTCGGCTTGGCTGGAGCCCAGGGGAAGAGGAAGTCCCAGGGGGGGGCGTCGTATCTGACCCGGGGGGGGGGTCGCTACCCCCCCCCCCCTCCCGGCGGGGGAGGGATCAAAGGGAAGGGGCTTCCCTTCGACTCAATTACGAGGTTGCTCAAGGTCGGCTTGGCTGGAGCCCAGGGGAAGAGGTCTCCCAGGGAAAGGGAAGGACAGAGACGACGAGTACAAAGAATGACGGAGATGACGGCTCGAACGGAAAAGCCCCTCACACACGCCGACAGGGTCGGCGGATTTGGGTTCAGGGCTTCGGGAATCGGCCACGTGCAAGAAGCAGCCGCACTCGGCGCCCATCGCCCTCGACGGTGGATGGCAAGGTCGGTGTGCCGGGCGCCTGCCAGAGGGCAGCGCAGCGCAGCGCAACGCACACTGCTCCTCTCTCGGGGTGGTGGTGGTGGCACGCGGCCTTCTGCCAGAGGGCGCCGACGAAGTATACAATACAGTGGAGACCCATGCCACGAAACACCCGGCTTGCCTCCAGGTTGCCCTGGGTTTCTTGGATTTCGATGGTTCTGCGATGCAGAGCGCGACGCTCCCGCACCAAAAATCAGTGGGCGTCCTGGGGTCTCCTGGTTGGGTTTGTTGTGGAAGGTTTCCTGTGGACTGGCCTTCACTGTATCAGTTCGGCCCCAGTGGGCCCGGATTGGTAGGTCGACCCTGCCAGATGAAGGGTACCCTTGTGTCCTGTGCCTCGCGACCCGTGCCTCCTGCATTCCTGTGGCAATGTGGCCCTCGGAAGGGTCTTGTGTCCTCTCGCGTGTCCCCTCCAATGAAGTCCGTCCCTGCACGGTTCGTGGTCGCTTGGGCCGTCTCGCCCCCCGCAGAGCAGAAGCAGTCGAGGACCTCGTGGGCCACGAGCGACGGCCTGTTGCACGCGAGGCCGTGGCCGTTCGTGCCCAGGCTCTGCAGAGAGCGCGTGCGCCGCCGTCACGGCTTTCCGCTCTCTTCGCCCTCCTCCTTCTCCCCCTCCTCTTCGTCCTCGTTCCTCCTGCCTGTGCGCAGCAGCTGTGCACAGTGGCTTCGGATGCAAATTGTGGCGCCATCGGGCAGGCCACAGCGGCAGCCTCTGCGTCAGCAGGCGAGCTGCATCCACCGCCGTTCCTGCATCGACAGGCGAACCACAGCGGCGATAATTGTCATTATCACCACTGCACTGGCGACGTGTCTAATCTAATCCTCGTCGTATTTTTATTCCTCCTTTTTTGGAGGGGTAGCGGATCCCTTCGCTGGTATGATCGCCTGTTTTGGGGGAGGCGATGCTCCATCGCCGGATACAGTCGCTTCGAGCCTCCGCTTGTTTAGCCCGTGGTGCCTTTTCTCCTGTGATGCGGCGATCTCATTGGACTAGCTCGATCCCCTTCTGCATTCGTCATGATCCTGCTGCTGTTGCCGCTTCTCCTCTGCTCCCACTCTGTGCTCACCTCTGCGTCGACGTTGTCGTCGTCTTCGTCGTCTTCCTCCTCCTCCTAAATCCGTAAGGGCTTCGCCCCCTGCCGCCGGCCCCCTCTCTCGGAGAATGGGCCATGGAAGAGCTAAGTCATGAGGCTTTGGCGCTGTCGTGCAGCAGTATCGGAACTTCATGCGAGGCCGATTCGCAATCGGCAAAACCAACTGATCACAAGAGGGGTTACCACACAGGGCGATTGGTAAGACGTGTATGGTTTACGAGCTTGGTTACCACACCTTGGGATTAAAGGGCCGAGGGAGTACTCGCAGTTTGGGTTACCACGCCTTGCGATGGATGTGCGTGAGGGGTGGCACCGAATTTCAGAAATGTGGCAAATCCCCTGTGTTTTTGGACCCTGACCCCGCGGATCTGCGTGAGGGGTGGCACCGAATTTCAGAAATGTGGCAAATCCCCTGTGTTTTTGGACCCTGACCCCGCGGATCTGCATGAGGGGTGGCACCGAATTTCAGAAATGTGGCAAATCCCCTGTGTTTTTGGACCCTGACCCCGCGGATCTGCGTGAGGGGTGGCACCGAATTTCAGAAATGTGGCAAATCCCTGTGTTTTTGGACCCTGACCCCGCGGATCTGCGTGAGGGGTGGCACCGAATTTCAGAAATGTGGCAAATCCCCTGTGTTTTTGGACCCTGACCCCGCGGATCTGCGTGAGGGGTGGCACCGAATTTCAGAAATGTGGCAAATCCCCTGTGTTTTTGGACCCTGACCCCGCGGATCTGCGTGAGGGGTGGCACCGACTTTCAGAAATGTGGCAAATCCCATGTGTTTTTGGACCCTGACCCCGCGGATCTGCGTGAGGGGTGGCACCGACTTTCAGAAATGTGGCGAATCCCATGTGTTTTTGGACCCTGACCCCGCGGATCTGCGTGAGGGGTGTCGATTTCGAGCCCCCCCAGCAATTCAGACAACGCGCCCAGGTGGTGCTAAAAATCTGGTTTGGGCCTCCCCCCCCCTCGCGCGGTCAATCAACTAGTTACAGTAACCAGCAAGAAGTCAACTAGTTACAGTAACCAGCAAGAAGCAGAACTGTAACACTGGAAACTACAAACTACAACTGGTACAGGAAACTGCGAATCACGCGCCTCGCAGCCTGGTGGCCCCACAAGGGGGCCGGCGGATTTTTTCCTTCCTCGTCCCTTTCTTGCGCTTCTTGCCACACTTCCTCCTCTTCCTCCTATCCTCCTTCATCCTAGCTCTCCTACATCCTGTCTCCCTACCTCTTCTCCCTCCTCCCCGCCTCTCGCCTTCACGATACGCTCTTAGCTCTTAGCTCCCTCTCTTTTCGTCCTCCATCTCCTCGTCCACCTAATTATCTTTCTTCTCTGTTCTCCCTCCCGTCATTCCTATTCCCTGACCCCTGTTCTGTCATCCGCCCTCTTCCTCGTTGTCCGTCGTCGTCGTCGCCGTCGCCGTCGCCGTCGTCGGTCGTCGGTTGTCAGTCGTCGGTCGTCGGTCGTCGGTCGTCGGTCGTCCGTCGTCCGTCGTCGTCGTCGTCGTCGTCGTCGTCGTCGTCGTCGTCGTCGTCGTCGTCGTCGTCGTCGTCGTCGTCGTCGTCGTCGTCGCTGTCGCCTTCCTCCCCCTCCCCTCCTCGCTCTCCCGACGCCCCCGTGCTTTTCTCACGGCGTGGGCCCCCAGAGGTCTGGATCCCTTCCCGGGACCCGCTCGCCATCCAGATTTGCCACGGCCCCAGGCCCAGCGAGGGCCGCCGGAGGCCGAGAAGCCGCCAGAAGCTTCCCGACGTGATCTCTGCGCGGCGAGAGGGGCTCTGGGCCTCCCCTCCTCCTCCTCCTCCTCCTCCTCCTCCTCCTCCTCCTCCTCCTCCTCCTCCTCCTCCTCCTCCTCCTCCTCCTCCTCCTCCTCCCTCCCTGTCTGCCTCCCGCCTCCTCCCCCTCGCCGCCTAGCGAAACCTCCCCAGCCCGCCGCGGACCCCCCCCCCCCCGGGAGGAGCGGGGCAGCGTGGAGCGCCCGCTCTCCGCCGTGGAGCAGCTGCTGGTGCTGTCCAGGCCCCTCCTCCCGGGCCCCGCTGCTCCGTGGATCCTGGGCTCGGGCGGCGGGACACGTGCACCTCCTCCTCCTCCTCCTCCTCCTCCTCCTTCTCCCCCCCTCCTCCTCCTCCGCCTCCTCCTCCTCCTCCTCCTCCTCCTCCTCCTCCTCGTCCTCCTTCTCCTCCTTCTCCTCCTCCTCCTCCTCCTCCTCCTCCTCCTCCTCCTCCTCCCGTTGTGAGAAGATCACGACGGGAGGAGGTCTTTGGCAATCTTCGGCCTCCAGGGGGCCCCGCGTCGGGCTCTGAGACGGTCAATGCGCAGCTCGGCATGGAGATGCTGGGTCGTGAGGAGCCACGTGGCGATCAAACACATGACGCCGGATGTCTGGGCAGGTGCGCTGCACGGACCTGGGCCGGGCCCGCCCTTGGCCCAGGATCGGTGCATGTGCCTCCCTGGCCGAGCCAGGATGGCGTATACTATAGCCAATCCTGGGCCCAGGATGCTGGCCACGCTCATCCCGGGTTCAGAATCGGTGTGCACGTTTGCCTTGTTGGCGAGCTCAGGTGGGACTACATAGTATACACCGATCCTGGGCCCAGGATGGTCCAGGCCAGGGCCGGTGCACATGCATACGTCTCTTTTTTATCAAAGCGCGTGTTACCCATTATCCTGATATCATATCATCGCGTTGTCACAATCATCACGGCGCAAGGCGTTTGGCCCTTTTCGACCCCTGGGTGCCATTGCTCAGCCATGGGGCCGCCAGCAGACGACCTGGGATGGAGAATTGGTTCTGGGCAAAAGATCCAGACATCCCCGCTAACTCGATGATCCTGGGACGTGTGTCAGCGAGGGGAGCGGATCAGATCTGTAACCACTTGCGATTCGTACCCCTACGGATCCAATCGACGCTCGGGTATCGGCCCCCCCCCTCTGGGCTTCCCTCGGCCGCAGACATCCTTCAAGCTCTGAACCCCGGCCAGCTTTCCAGGAATCTAACCTGCAGGGGTTCACATGCGGTTGCCTATCGGGGGGCCGGCCCCACGGGCGAGCCCTCGCTGGCTATCCCCCAGCCTGTCGGGCCCGCGTGCGGGCGTGCACGCCGTGCTCGAGTCAGGGCGTCGGGGAGGGTTGCTCCCGCTCTCCTCTGATCCGCGCTCCCCCCCTTTCGGCCTGGCCTGGCTGCTCCTGAGGCCAAGGACATCCGCGCCCCCCTAAAAAACAGGCTGGTTTTTGATCGAGCCGCAAGCCCGGCGCACAAGCCGCGGCTTTGCTCGACGCTGATCTGGGGAATGGCGTCGCGACGTCGTCGCTGGCGTGTTCTCAGTTCTGATAGGTTCGTGCGGCTCCAGGAGATGTCCAGCAATGCCGATACGAGCTTGGCTACATGTTCTGTCCGTCTTGGCGGGAAGCCGTTTACCGTTCGTTCTCCCCGGATTTGCGTTCCGCAATGGAAGAATGTTCGTGGAGATTGATGCGTTGCAGCATCGTCGATACATCCTGGGTTTGCTGTACTCTACTCCCTCTTTTCCTCCTTCCTCATCTTCATTCCCTAGTAGCCCCCATGATAATCGTTTGTTTTCATGTCGGCCCTTTCCGTAGGTCGTTCCTCGTTCTGCCCCGAGTTGTAGGCGTCCTCCGCCTCTTCCCTTTCATTCTCGTGTTCTTCGGCTGCCTTTTTCAATTCCCTCTCCTCCTGCCCTAATCCGCCTTCCGCCCTTGCCCCTCATCGTAAGCTTGTTGCTGCTGCTGCTGCTGCTCCTTCCCCACCTCTTCCTCCTCCTCCTCCTTCTCCTCCTTTCGATTTAGTGTCATAGTCTCATAGCCTCCTCCTCCTCCTCCTCCTCCTCCTCCTCCTCCTCCCCCTCCTCCTCCTCCTCCTCCTCCTCCTCCTCCTCCTCCTCCTCCTCCTCCTCCTCCTCCTCCCCTCACATCGTCACCTCTGGCCTACCGCCGCGAGTGGAGGTGCCACTACCTCTGGGCCACCTCCAACCCGAACGACGAGATGCTCCTCCAGGAGGCGGGGCGGGGGCGGCCTTCTAAAGCAGCCGACGCTGGCCGCAGGGGGGGGGGGAGATGTGTTGGAGGAGGAGGAGGAGGAGGAGGAGGATGAGGAGGAGGAGGAGTAGGAGGAGGGGGAGGAGGATGAGGAGGAGTGGATGAGAAGGATTAGGAGGGTAAGAGAGGAGGAAGGGAAGGAAGGGAGGAGTAGATGAGGAGGGAGAGGAGGAGGGGGATAGGAGGAGGAGGAGGAGGAGGAGGGGGAGGAGGAGTCGGTAGGAGTAGGAGGAGAGGAGTCGAGGAGGAGGAGGAGGAGAGGAGGAGGAGGATGAGGCAGTGTGGAGGAGGATGAAGGAGGAGGAGGAGGAAGGAGGAGAGGAGGAGGAGATGAGGAGGAGGCCGCAGGAGCAGGAGCGTTGAGATGGAGCATGAGCGGAGGAATGGGGCGATGCGGAGCGGAGTAGAGGAGGAGGAGGAGGAGGGGGGGCGAGCATGCCCGAGCGAGGGCCGTTGTCGCGGCGGCGCGGCGAAGGTGCTGGCGGCGCCGCTGCTTTTGCCTCCTGCCGCTGCCCCTCCAGATGCTCGTCGTCGGTACAGTCGGCCCGGCTTAGTAGGTCGACCCTGCCAGCTCAAGTGTACCCTTGTGTCCTGTGCCTCGCGACACGTGCCTTCTTACACTCCTATGGCGATGTGGCCCTCGGAAGGGTCTTGTGTCCTCTCGCGCGTCCTGTCCAATCAAGGCCGACTGTAGTCATTTCGGCTTCGGTTCGACGGTTCCCGTGCGAAGAAGGTGGATCCAGTGGAGACCCGTGCCACAAAATACCCTGCTTGCCTCCAGGGCTTCTTGGGTTTTGATGGTTCTGCATCGGAAAGCGTGACGTCCCCACACCAAGAATCAATGGACGTCCTGGGGTCTCAGGGTTGGGTTTTTTGGTGGAAGGTTTTTTCGTGGACTGGCCTCCACTGCACCGCTTGTTCGCGGCTAGAGGGAACGGTTTCTTGGCCGCATCAGTCGAGCTGCGCGCTATTGAGGGCGAGCCTCACGTTTCTTCCCAAGGCAGTCCGGGGCGTCAGGTGGCAGGAGATGCAGGGAAGCTCAGTTGGCGCGCCCAGATGCGTCGAACGGCGGCTTTCGACTGGTGTCGCAAATGGTTTGTGCATCTAGTCTCGGACGCAGCCTGGTGGAACAGGGCCGACAAAGTCAGTTGCCAGAACTGTGGAGTGGCAAAGGCGTCGTCTTGCTCGGGGCCACGTGCCAAGCCGCGGTCTTCTGCGCCGATGAAGGCTCCAGGTGACAAAAAAGGAGGCAGCCTGTGGCAGATGGGCAAACTGGCGCAGCCCGAGAAGCTGCTCATGCTCGGGCAGCAGCAGTTGGCATACGCCAGGCGTAACGAAGGTGAAGGCGATGGGCGCGTGGAAGTTGATGCAGATGAGTTGGCGCCGCGTGCCGGCAGCACGCAGATCAAGGTTCGGGTCAAGGAGATCGATTATGATACGCGTGCCGTCAAAGACGTCAAGGAAACATGGCTCGTGTCGGCGAAGGAGGGGTTGGATGCTGAGAGAAAACAGTTGCGCGCGTAGCTGGGGGCGTCAGAACTGATGCTGGCGCAGCTTCGGTCGCTGGCACTGCAGTCTTATTGGCTGTAGCAGAAGCAGGCTGTTCATGAGGAGTTGTTGGTCAAGGCTCAGCATAGACGTGAAGAATCAGGAGGTAAAAAACACACATAGACAAATCGTCGACCCTCCAGAAAATATGGGAAAATATGGGAAGCGGGGGGAAGACAAACACCCAGAAAATATGGGGATGTTTTTTATTTGTGTATACTTATTTGTGTGTCCTGGGGCCCCTTCAGAGAAGGCAAACGCAGCGAGCCTCTAACCAAGCAGCGGTCATTGCGGTGGCCCAGCAGGGGTTCTTGCCGATCGCCGAGGAGCAAGCTCGGCAGGCAGCCGCTGCGCCCAGGCCTCCGGGCTCCCTGGGGGCCGAGGCGGTCTCAGCGCTTGGCATCTCGGTCGGGAACATTCAGGAGGGGAAAAAACACACAGACACAATTAATCCTCGATTCCCTTGAAAATATGGGAAAATATGGGAAGTGGGGGGGGAAGACAGAAACCCAGAACATATGGGAAAACATGGGGATGTTTTTTATTTGTGTGTATTTGTTTGTGTGTCCTGGGGCCCCTTCGAACATGGGCAGCCTCCGCACGGGCTTGGGCGGCGACGCATCGCGCGGCACCAAGCTCGGGCAGGCCGTGGCCGAGGTCGTGGCGCTTGAGGGGAGGAAGAGGACGGCGGACAGGGTCAAGGTGGAGAGTGCGCAAGTCAAGGCACCAGAGGGTCAGTCGTTGGCTCGGTCAGCTAGGCCGCTGGGCGGAGGAGGAGGAGGAGGAGGAGGAGGAAGAGGAGGAGGAGGAGGAGGAGGAGGAGGAGGAGGAGGAGGAGGAGGTGCACCAGCACAAGGAAGAGTTAACGTAACAATCCTGAGCGCCGACGAGACAGATCTGGGCGAATTTCGCGAGTGCCGGGGCAAGGCAGGCGTCGATATCGAGGTGGGGGCGGACGAGTCGTTTGTCGCAGCGTTGGGAAGCTGGCAGGGCGCGCCGAGGGATGGAAAGCGGAGCAGCGCG